TTTATAGCATCTCTAGTAAGGGTAAAGAATATAATTGCTCCTATTTGGCACAACACAATTTGCATACTACCACAACATAATTCCTTTGCTTATTACTGATTCATGATAAGGAGAAAGATATTTTCAAATTCAGTGCTTTTCTTTTACATAAACTCAAGTTATCTTTTTAAATTGTTACTATTTTGTCAAAATATCAAAAATACTAAAAATATTTGAATTTTAATTACTTCGAATACATCTCTAGTTTAAGTAATTGCCTTTTTATAATAGAAAGTTTGTTGTTCAAATAGAGCATATTGCATAATTTCCATGTGGGTTCGATATTCATGTCTTAATCAAAAAGTCTTATATTACTTGATAATGATACGTATGATTGTGTATTATCCCAATATATATATAAATTAAAAAGTTAACTTCTTATTTTCTTCAGGATCAAGTTTTGACATTGTGGCAAAGTAAAAAAATATAAATGAAAATATAATCAGAGACAATGTTATACTGTTGCATATAAGCACTTTCGGGATCAGTGACCTATCCACAATTGAAGCCTATGAGACCATTGTTGACCTCACTTTTGTGAGGATCCATTTTAAATGACATTCATGATCCATCTTGGGAAAGGGTCTACTAACATTGACTCCTTCAACCTATCAAGGCTCCCCAAAACCTTAAAATTGGAGCAAAATCAAATGTATCTCCTTTTGACCTCAAAATTGAATGACACCATAAACAAACCTAATATGGACCCTATGGTCACCACATTGACCATTTTGGTCAACCCTTAACCCTATGATCACCACATTGACCTTGTAATTGACCAAATTACCATATGGTCAAGACATTACCATATGGCCAACCCAACCATCATCTTGGTCAACCCTTGGACCCAATTGGTCAAACTTGATTAATTGGTCAATCGAAACACCCAATTGGTCAAACTTGGTCAATTAGTCAACCATAGCACTGTCGATCGCCAAAATGGGAATGCGATATTTTTAATTATATATATATTATAATTTTAGAAAGTAATATTTTAATTTTAAAAATACGAGACCGAACCAATCTCATATATACGATAGTTTAAATAAACAAGCACAATCACCGCAAGTAATACATCTATCCCGAGGAATAGACATATCACTTATGAGTGAGGCTCGGTTAAATAAACTATAGAATTTATGACATCTATTTTAATCTGTGAAATCATTTACAAATTTTCCCCTATCTAATACAAAAGATTAGATATGGTTTATATTAAGTTGGATTCTAAATTTTCCTATAAGGGCATTCCCCTATAGTTAATTACATTTTAGACGATCAAAATCGCCTAAGAAAACTATTAATTTAGATCATAAAACATTGTCTTCAAGAATTTCAAAGGGTAGGACTTTTCAAGGTCGAACAAAATAGTATCAAATGGGAAAAGATCAACTTTTGAACATTTATTATGGAATCCAATGGAAGAAATAAACTAGGGGGTGTCACGGATCCTGAGGAGAACCTTTGTGGCTTCCCAAACTATCATATGGTTTGGCTTCAGTTTTTAAGAGATATTATTAGATGTTTCATCCTATCAAGTTTTATTAATTAGGCCTTACATTTGCATGACACAATCATACAAATAGCCTGGAAGATAGGAGGATTTATGTCGTAACAAAAAACAACCTCAGAGCCTAAGGCGAGCTAGGACTTAAATTGCACAACATCGATGTGCAAAGGCCTAAAGATAAAGTGAGGATTTATGTTGCACTAGACAAACAATCTCGAAATCCAATGACTTGTTGTTTAACTCTAAGAAAAGATTGTTGTTGTAGATCCACGCTGTCTCGAAGTTGTTCTTCTGTACATTCTCGTCGTGCTGCCCACAGAGTTAGCTTTAAGCTCCTCGTCGAAGTAGCAAGACTAAGATCTAAGGTTCAAAAGGTTTTACCAAGTGTGTTTAAGTGACAAATTTTTTGGTTGTCCAAGCATTATGGGAGGGTTAAAGTTAATTAGAGCGACACCGGTTAGAATCTCACGGTTCTCTAGTCTCGGTACCACTATTTTCTCTTGAATTTAATTAGCCTAAATGAGTTGTTAAGCTCATTTAAACTGGGTAGATCTTGTTAACAACCATGGGTTACCTCATCTGATGGACTCTCTTAAATTTAAGAGGACGTATTATGTTTTTTGTTGTTTTTGTTTTGTTTAAAAAACGTTGTTTAATTTTGAAAATGGTTTTGCAATTTTCAGTTTTGGAAAAGTTTTGCAAGTAAAGTAAATAAACACAGGTAAGATGCTGTAAATTAAATAAAGAAAATTGCATTGCATAAAATATAAATGCGTACCTAAGCTTTTGCTACCATTGCATGGTTGGCATCATAAAACATAATATATTTACAGGAAATTTAAATAAATTGCAGGAAAGTAATCAAGAATATCTGGTACGAGAAAAAGACAGAAAATAATTCATAGCAAAACACAAGTAAAAGAAAATCTGTAGTCACATATGGAAGACCAAAACTGGGTGTAAGACATTAGTAAAGGTGGGGGCTCAGAGTTGGACTGTGTGCTTCCCGACATTAAGTAAGAGCTACCAACCTGACAATCTATGGAGGGTTGTCCTAACCTCGATCCAAGTGATTAAATGTGGACCTTTATAAGTTTCATTTGAATTTAACTTTCATGCATATAAAATTTATTTTATCATGCAAAAGAAACTTTCACTTAAAACATTTTTGTAAAGTGATGCAGTCCACAGGTTAATCAATTTAATCGAGCTAGGACTAAAAATAACCTAAGAGTATTGGGGGCAATCATCTTCTCAAGAGTCGTTGAATAGTATCATTGGTCCTTATTCTCTCTTTTTATTAAAGGTTCTTGAGGTAGAAAAAATATAAGGTAGTCCACGGGGAGTCTAAGAGAGCAATTTGTGACGTTAAAAATTTTACTTTTAGCGATATTTATAATAAATTAAAAAGAAAGAGGGTGACAAATATATATATAAACTAGCCAAATAAAGATAAAAAAATAAATATTTAATTCAAGTAAAGTGTATTAAAAATGAAAAAAAACAAAGAACTTTACTTATAGAAAGATATTCACTATAGGCAGGTGATCTATTTTAATAAATATTTCAATAAAGTTTCTGAAAATACGATCGACCTTAGTGGTCATAATATCGTTAATAATAATAAGAAAAAAGTTTGAGGTGATTTTAAAGAAAACCAATGGTGAAAAATTAGTAGGACCTGATGTTAATCCCAATTGAGGTGTGAAACTGTTTATAAGATTTTGGAGTTCTTGGCTTACTAAATTCTTTAATACTATTTAAAAAAAACTAAAAGTTGTCTGACGAGTGGTGTAGGTCTATCAATGAGATAAGAAACAAATCAAAACAACAAAACAATGAATATAACACATCAGAGCAAGAAAAAAACCATGGGAGTATTTCTATCCTTAAAAATATTTTCAATGAAATCTCTTTGGAAAAGAAAAAAAAAGTTGCAATGTAATAAAGTCTATAAAGAGCACAATAAACTTAGAAACATCCCAGAATAGGTTTTTCTAAAAAATGACAAACAAATGTTAGAGCTAATGAAAGAGCGGCGCTAAAAAAAGTGTGGCTTACAATAAATCTTTGGTTAGTACAATTTGCTATAAATGAATTCCAGTAAATCTGATAAAGGATTAATTGTCTGATATAAAAGCAATGGGATACTTGATATTAATATTCTAATAATATAAATTCCATTTTCATTGACGCCTAATAAGAAAATGACTACTACTTTTAATTAAAGACAATAACTTCTCAATTTTAATCTTTTCTAGAATGTTGCTCCACACATTAGTGATCCCGACTTACTGTTTATGTGCATAGTATAATAATGCCTTTGATGATATTTTTCACTTTTGTTTCCTTACTTTGCAACAGAACCAAACACTTGATCATGGAGAAAATAAGAATTTAGCTTTTTAATATATATATATATATATATATATATAT